ACACACACTCTCACTCTCTCTCACACACACTCTCTCTCACACACACACACACACACGCTCACACACACACACGCACGCTCACACGCACACACACGCTCACACGCACACACACGCTCACACACGCTCACACGCACACACACACGCACACACACAAACACACACACGCTCACATACGCTCACATACGCTCACACACATACGCTCACACACATATGCTCACACACATTCACACACAGTTATGGAGTGTGTGAGGTGAAGCGTGAGGGTTCGGCTGATTCTGATCCCAGAGAAGCAAACAGGTAAAGAGGAAAAAGGTGAGAAGATTGCGTGGCTCGAGGGCATGCTCCACACGGGATTTCCTTTAAAGATATTTGCTTTACATGCTCATCTGTAGTTACTTTAAGCTATTTTTTAATATTTCTTATTACCATATATGTCCAAAACTGTAATTTGCTACCAAAAAAAAACAATTTTTAACATTTTGTTGCAAGATTTGCCAAAAATCTAGATTGAATATATTTGGTCAGAATCCCATGTTATAAAAGATGAAGTGCTATGCTGCAGGCTATTAAAGACAATATCGGCTGATTAGACGGAAATGCTGAGCTAAAATGCTAAATGTCTGTCCTCTCTCTCTCTTCAGCGTTCACACATCTCTGACCTCAAACACATCAAATATTACTCTTTTTAGACATAGTTTAGTAAAGAGTAAAGAAAATACTATAAACACACACTCACTCACACACACATCACTGACTGACCCATGTAGCTGAAAGATGTGGAATCAAACGTTTAACTAAGAGCACGAAATAAGCGTCACTTAATTATGAGCAATAATAATGATGTGAGTGTAATATCATCACAGAGAATCTATCTACTTAAACTACTTAAACGCACTTTTCTTATGAAGATGGGTTATGCGTGAATCACAATCCTTTTTTGAGCACAAATTCAAAAATGTTGTCATTTCATCAGAAGAGGAAGACTTGTTAAATTCTCAGAAAGAAAGTAGTTTGCCGTTTCCTTAAGAAATGCCGTAATATTGCTATTAGTGTCTGAAAAACATCTGTCTGTCAAATCAAAGTCATGTGACCTAAACAACAAAATGTTGGTCAAGCAGACACGTCCAGAAGCAAACGTAAACAGGTGATGACGTCACAGAGAGAGCGTGTTAAAGGGGCCGTTCACCCAAAAACCATCCTTCTGTCATCACTCAGACTCAGGCTCTTTCCAGACCCCTGTGACTTCTGTTCACCTGTCTACCCCGACTGAAGAGATCTAAAGGAATCTGAGAGGTTTCCGAAAGAAAGTCTGTGCAACTAAACCTGCAAAAAGCTCAGAAAGGCGTCGTTAAACGAATCTACCGGTTCAATCCTGTTAAGAGACTTCATATGATGAACAGATTTAATTTAGGCTTATACTGACATTCAAACATCGATCAGCACACAAACACAACGCACATGAATGTTGACGTCTTTACGAACTTTTAGAAGCGTCAAAGTTCTGTTGTAATGGACTTTCAGTGCAGAAACAGAAACCTGTCAGGTTTCATTAAAACATTCCCGTTGTTTTTATGGATTTGGAACCACATGAGGGTGAGCAACTGATGACAATGTTCATAATTATTATGCATTCATGAATACATCATTTGTGATGTTTCTTGCTACACTAAGAATGATTTATTCATAAACTGATAATAACTGCGTGTAGGTCGTGTTTATTTGATGGTTACACCACACGAGTCATTCATTAAATGAAGAAAACAATATTACAGGTATTGTTTTCTGCAGCACGAGCACAGAGGATTTGTCAGATGTGTTTAACTCTGCTGTGTGTCACTGCTGATGCTAACAGAGCTACAGAGGCTTCAGCAGCCACACAACCGCCGCTCACACGCCACTAGCAGCTGCACAGAACTAGTAACACACACTGACGGCGCTGAATGATTCGAGTTAACTAAACGCGCTTCAGCGTTACACAACTGTGTCCGGCTACGAGCTCTCGCTAGCTTTAGCATGAGCGCCCGGCAGAGGCCAACACAGCGGACACTGCGGAGCAAACACACACCCGCACTCACAGAAGCATACCTCGAGCGTGTGTACAGATGAGTGCAGCTCTTTCCAACGCAGCTGGACGAGGGAATAGCAGAGTATGGTTAAATATGAGAAATGAGAAGTTTAACAGAAATGTGACCGTACACATTCATATGCCACGGTTTTTATATTAATATATTTATTTAAGTCAGTGTTCAGTAATAAATCATGTACCCAAATACCATGGTGCATTAATATGGTAAACCATCTGATAGCATGAGTTAGATTTTTTGAGAATGCATGTGATTGCACTGATGTGTTTCTCAGGGCCTGAAACTAATTTCTGAAAATTCTTCATCTTATTATTTTTATAGTGATTATCTGACCTAAGTGTTTGCACATTTCAGCTCGACAGTTTTTAACAGTACATATTATTTTAAGCAGTTTTACAGAGTAAAGTGCCTGACAGATGTCCCAGAATCAAACGTGTGTGTTGCTTCTCTGTAGTTCGTGAGTGAGTGCTTTATTACAGTGATCTGTGCTTTCAGAGCCTCTGATCGCTCTGTTTTTAACTCCCGCATCACGAGAGCTTGAGCTTCTTGAGTTTTGATCGCTCATTTATCCTCACTACTCTTTGTTTGGCCTGTGGTTTCTCTGTCTTCCATTCAGTGGATGTCGAGATCTTCATCCAGGTCAAGATTACATTCTCCTGAGTTAATCAGATTACAGGACTAGTCTATGATGACCAGTTAAGGCCACTGCGTTGTCTGTAGTTGGTGAGTGTTTGATTTGTAACAGACTCTTTTGTGTTGTTTTGTGCCGCAGGTCCGTCGCAGAACCCCGTTGGTGTTTTCCCCTGTAATCAGCGCTTCATGGCACCGCCGCAGCCGGGCTTCATCAACACCCTGCCAAGCAAAGGCCCTCCGCCGGCCGGCCTGAGCCTCTACAGCAGCAGCAGCCGTTCCCAGCCTTCACCTGTCGGCACGCTCAACCACAGCAGCTACTCCCAGCATCCTCAGCAGCCCATCAACCACAGCAGCTACTCCCAGCATCCTCAGCAGCCCATCAACCACAGCAGCTACTCCCAGCATCCTCAGCAGCCCATCAACCACAGCAGCTACTCCCAGCATCCTCAGCAGCCCATCAACCACAGCAGCTACTCCCAGCATCCTCAGCAGCCCGTCTGGAGTCCCGCAGGGAGCCACGTCAGCCCCGTCCCGCCAGTGATGCACCGAAGCGGCACCAGCGCTCCTCCTGTCCTCCTCAACACTGTGCAGCCACCCGCACCCTCTGTGAACACTGCTGCTCTGACCGGTACATCCCATAATATCACACACACTACTGAATAACTTACAATAATTTGTTAATGTTTCTGAAAGAAATTTCTTCTGCTCATCAAGGCTGCATTTATTTGTTTTAAAATACAGTAAAAATTGTGAAATATTATTATAATTCCAAACAGCTGTTTTCTATTTTAATATATATTAAAGTGTAATGTATTTCTGTGATGCGCAGCTGTATTTTCAGCATCATTACTCCAGTCTTCAGTGTCACATGATCTTCAGAAATCATTCTAATATGCTGATTTACTGCTCAAGAAACATTTCTGATTATTATCAATGTTGAGAACAGTCGTGCTTGTCCAAAGTCTGGGGTAAGTAAGATTTAAAACAGCAAAAAAAACTGATCAACATTAAACTGATCAAAAGTGACAGTAAAGACATTTCTAATGTTACAGTAGATTTCTATTTCAAATAAATGCTGTTCTTCTGAACTTTCTGTTCATCTGTGAATCCTGAAAAGTAAAATGTTTACACAAAAATATTGTGCAGCACAACTGTTTTCAGCATTGATAATAATCAGAAATGTTTCTTGAGCAGCAAATCAGCATATTAGAACGATTTCTGAAGATCATGTGACACTGAAGACTGGAGTAATGATGCTGAAAATACAGCTGCGCATCACAGAAATACATTACAGTTTAACACAAAAGAAGTTTAGAAGTTCATTTTCATTGCTATTAGACGGTGAAGCAAAAGCTGGTTCAGCTGAATAAGAATCTATGGAGAGTGAATAGCTTTATTACTGTATTGTGTTCTCCTCTTGTGATGTGTGGCAGCTCCCCCTGCGCTGAGTGTCATGGCTCTCCATCAGACGCCTGCAGCTGTGACAGGGCTGCCGCTCGCCGCACACAGCGACGGTAAGAGAGCGGCCGCTTCCACTGACCTGTGCTCTCTCTCCGGATCAGAGGGATAGTTCACCCAAAAATTAAAGCTCTGTCATCATCATCAAGCATAAATGAAATCTTAAAAGGTTCTTCATGCACAGTGCAAAAACCGAATGATTTGATAACTGCTGCTGATCCTGCGCTGCTGTGCTCTCAGACTGTGATGATGTTGTGAGCGCAGCGCTGATAACTGATGGAGCTTGTGTTTCTGCAGCAGCAGCAGTGTATCCCGCTGACCCCGCACAGATGCACAGGTACCCCTCACTACAGCCGGTCTATCAGAGTGTGTCCGGCGCGCAGACGGCCCCTCCTGCGCAGACGCAGACGCAGCTGTACACACAGGTTCCGTCTATGAAATCAGTTTTATTTTTTCCAAAATTCCATTTTTTCTGTTTAAATTTTTCTGGACTCCTTTTTAATGGTTAAATCAAATTTTATTTAAAAAGACATGTCTAATTAATTAAAATCATGAAACTTATACAATTTAACCTCAATATATTAAAAGTTTAACACAAAAATTCAATTTTTAGGGCCTATGAAATATGTTCCGGCGCGCAGACGGCCCCTCCTGCGCAGACGCAGAAGCAGCTGTACACACAGGTTCCGTCTATGAAATCACTTTTATTTTTTCCAAAATTCCATTTTTTCTGTTTTAATTTTTCTGGACTCCTTTTTAATGGTTAAATCAAATTTTATTTAAAAAGACATGTCTAATTAATTAAAATCATGAAACTTATACAATTTAACCTCAATATATTAAAAGTTTAACACAAAAATTCAATTTTTAGGGCCTATGAAATATGTTTTGTTTTTCTCACGTTCTGTTTTATTGTTACTAAATTCTGTGTTTAAGCATGTCTAATTATTTGAATGCATAAAAACAACTTAATTTATTCATTTATTATTATTTTTTTTCCAGAAATTCTGTGTTGTGTATTTGAATTTTTCTGGTTATCAAATGAAGGCATAAAACAGTCATTTATTTTATCTTTGAATCAAATGAAAACAAACTTTATTTTGGCAAACAAGGGGGTTTGCTATTAAAATAAAAATATGGGAGAAATATTGTGTTATTGTTCCTTAAAAGGAATAAGTTTTAATAATTTATTATTAGTAGTAGTAGTACTAAGTACATTCTACTTCATAAATTGCAAACCCTGTGATTTAATCAAACGGATTATTTTTTTTATAGATTTATTTTCCAGAAACATCAGAATAAAAACGTAATTTTCTAGTGCAATATAAAAAAAAAAAAAAAAAAAAAAAAACAATTTGAATGAAATTTTTTTCCAGTTTGAATGACTGATTCAATGACTTATTCAAAATATTAATTTGTTCCATT